TATAAAACTCGGAGAATCATTTTATAAAACTCGAAGAATCGTTTTACGAAACCGCAAAAAACCGAAACAGCCGTAAAACGCGAACTAGTCACGACTAGTTCGCCCACGGGCGAACTAGGAGGCACTCGACTAGTTTGCCCATCGGCGAACTAAGCCGGCCCGGCTTAGTTCGCCGATGGGCGAACTAGTCCATCTCGACTAGTTCGCCCATTGGCGAACTAGTCCCGTCCCGGCTAGATCGCCATTGGGCAAACTAAGAGGTGCTGACTTTGCCCCACTGGTTCTTTTCGCCTAGTTCGCCATATGGCGACCTAGCCAAGCTGAACTAGCTCGCTGTACGTCGAGCCGATCATCCCGAGCCTGGATCTCCCACATCCTTGATTCAAGGCATACGTCCTTCGACACGATCGTATTCCGAATCACGGTCGAAATGTCTCCCGTTTCGTCTCGATCCGTCCTATTGTTCGAGTTTTACGATAAAAACCGTAAAACTCCGTTTTCCCGAAAAGAACTCGAAGAAATCGTATAAAACGGTAACGGTTAATCAAAACACCGAACGTCGCCTAAACTATACGATCTATCCGAGATTCTTCGTTAAGATTATAAAAACGCGTTTTTAATAAAAAACGTCGAGAGAATCGTAAAAAAAGGCATCGGATCAGGAAACGGTCTCGTTAAAGTCCTAAAACGGTTTTTATCGTAAAACGGCCCGAAAGGTCCTAAAACACGATAAAAACCCATCTCGCGACGTTAACAAAATCAAACCCGAAGATACGATAACGCTTTGACGGTTTACTCGCAGACGGAAGATAAAAGGCAAGTTTGAAGATAAATAGAAGATTTCCGCAGAAGAAAAGGAAGGATCGACAGATATGGAAAGTTCCCGAAATATTCGGTTTCGAGAAAAATGGAAAGACTAAAACCGCCTAAGGAGGAGTATATAAGGAGGAGGCATAGGGCAGAAGCTGAGGGACGAAATCCAGAGCTCTCATCTGAGACTTTCTCAACTTTTCTAGATTTAGAATTTTCCGCACTTAGAAACTTAGGCTTTTTCTCGACAAGTTCGGTTTCTATGACTGGCGCTCAATTACTAGACGAACTCGCCCAGGCAGTTCGATCTCTTGTCCAGCTCTATCAACTGAACTACGTTCGACTTGATCCCCGAAAGGGGTACGTAGGCAGCCTTTCATAAGGTTCAGTCCGNTGTAATGATCGCAACGCTCTTACGCGAATCGGAAATAAGATCGACTTTCTTTATAAATTCGTTTTATTATGTTTTTCATATTTTTCCGCATTTATTTGGTTACTTGTCGTTGGCTTTCGCAGAGATCCGGTTCCTCTGGAAAATTAGGATTTTCCTAAGTTTCCTTATTTAACGGAAATCGACAAGTGTGAATTTCGGTTCCCACAAGTATAATTTCCTAAACGGTTATTGTTAAACCGTCATTGATCTTTGTATATATACGTCGTTTGCATAAACTTAATAAACAAGTCAGTTTGATATCTAATCTTCAGACTTCTTTTCTGGTTTATATGTTCAATAAAGTCCCAACATTCTAATTCCATTACATGACTCTGGTCAAGATCAGGAACATTCTTGCAGTCTCGTTCTTCCACTATATACTCCTGATACGATCAATACATAAACAGAAACAGTGTTGTATATCAGAAAAGTAAACTAATAAAGAAGAGAGAATTTGTAAGAAACTAGACCTTGGTGAGTTCTTGTTTGGCAAGAACATGATAATGCCGCTCATTGATCCTTTGACCACATACAATGGCGATGAAAAACCCACAAAGTAAGAAAATGGCCAAACTGCAAAACATGAAACAGATTCATTGGATTAACACATAGTTCAGATGATGGTCTTGACCAATAGAAAGCAAAAAGATGTATTACCAGCTAATGTGTAAGAAGCCATAGGGATGTTCCTCATAAGTTATTGGTTTAACACTACAGATGGTTACCTTCTGAAAGAGAGTGGGATCGTGGGCAAAAAATAAGTGAGTTGCTGAAACCTTTCAGTCAAATTACTAATCTCTTTTCAGGATCAAAGTACCCAACATCTAATGTGTACTTCATGGAAGTTTGGAGGATTGAATTATTACTGAGGCATTTTGCGAGCTGTGATGATTTTGATTTGAAGGAGATGGCTAAGGAAATGCAAGTTAAATTTGCTAAGTATTGGGAGGATTACAACATTATTTTGGCTATGGCAGCAGTTTTTGATCCAAGGCTGAAGTTGGATGTTCTTGAGAAAGCTTATGAGAGAGTGGATCCTTCTACTTCTACTTTAAAAACTGCGGAGCTTAAGACTAATTTGACTGAACTTTATAAAGAGTATCAAGCTGGGACTTGGGGAAGTTCTTCTAGTTCTTCATTTACACCAACTCCACAGGATCTAGTAAATGAATCTCCTCTTGAAGATGATTTAGACAATGTAAGTTTCAAGCATCTTTACTCTTTTTTGCATTGTCGTTTTAAGGATCTAAACATCTTACTCTTTTTTGTTTTAAGGATCTCTTTGAATTGGAAAGAAGCCTTGGAAGTAATGTAGGAAACACAAGAACACATTTGGATGTGTATCTGGATGAGAAGAGGCTAGATAGAAAGTCTTTTCGCAAGTTGGATGTATTAAACTATTGGAGAGATAACCAAGCTCGATTTGGTGATTTAGCGATGATGGCGCGTGATATACTAAGTATCCCTATCACCACAGTAGCATCTGAATCAGCTTTCAGCATTGGAGCACGGGTGTTAACTCCATACCGAAGTCGCTTGCTTCCTAAGAACGTCCAAGCTTTACTCTGTACTCGTAATTGGTTGCGAGGATTTGCAGAATATGAAGGTAACTGATTCTCTCTATTCTTTATAGTTCTTGTTTTATGGGAAGGTCACCTTATGTTGTTTTAAATATGAAGGTACAATAGAAGATGTTGATGATATGTGCAACGAAGATGCTAGGAAGACTACAAGTACTTCTGGAGGAGAGGGTTCAAGATCAGAAGATTCAAATGTGCGTTGAACATTTGAGGTAATATCTTATCACTTGTGTTCTCGTTTAGCACTTGCAGCCAATATGGACAATACTTATCAGTTATCACTGGTTTTGGAGTAACATGTTATTTCGATGGGTAATGGCCTAATGGGTTAGTCTATTTTGCTGAGAGTTTTAGTTTATGTTTGTAACTCATGTGCTCTGCTCTTTTTTTTTGGTTACAGGATTCAAGCTGAGTTTCTATTCCATTCTCCAACCTCAGACTGTGAAGGTATTGATCTGTGAATCTGTGATGTTAAAGCTGGCGTCTTCGGTGTACTTTTTCTTCTTCTTATGCTATCGTTTCCCGTCTTGCTTTTGAGATGAGTTAAGCTTCGATTGTTTGTTTTCGAGTCAGTAGAACTGATTCAGGATTTAGGATTTGTTAGCGGTTCGGTAAGACCTGGCTTTACGTTGTCATCTATCATTGTGTGAGGTTATTTTGGTGTTGCTGTTAGGATATAAAAGATAGAAAAGAATGTGTATTGCTGTTTGTTTTCTATTCTTTACGTGATATTATCTTTTGTTTTGTGTGTGTGAGGCAGTGAAGTGATAGAGTAGCTTTCAATCATTCATATCAGCTTCTTGAAACCTGAGGTTCGCTGTCTGTGTCTTTTGGTTTACTTGTAAAAGCTTGTTTGTCCCTGAGACTGGTTTTGATTGTAAGAAAGATTAGTGCATCTGTTGTTCACTGTGTGATATCACGATTATATATGGTTATATATTTATCATCTTGTGTTCTCGTTTAGCACTTGCAGCCAAATAGTTTAGCTTGGCCAGTGTTACTGTTCTTGTTTAGCACTTGCAGCCAAATAGTTTGGGGATTGTGTTTTTGTGATTTCCGAAAGTGGTGTAGTAGATCATCTTTTTCTTACTGTTATAGAGGTAATATTAGCTCCTTCCTTGTTATAATGATTTCTGTTAGCTACGGAATTTCTTGCTTATATTGACTGATGTTAGAATCTCTTGCTTATATTGATTGTGTTTGTGGCTTGTAAGAGTCGCTTTGCTTCTTGTAATATAGTCGCTTTGCTTCTTTGTTTTTTTGCTTCTTGCAATCTTGTCTTACATTGGTTCTTTACTTTGTAGGAAGAAAGAAGATACGAAGTGCACCACTTTGTGCCGGTTTGATTATCAACGAGAGAGGAAGACCATTACTTTGAAAATTATATGTTGTCTCCTTCAACTTAGTTATTAACTTATTACTCTATTAGGCTATTACAAACATATAAAAACACATATAATTTTCATAATCAAAGATTCAAAAGTCAAAACCTACATTTATCTAGAGTTCATCAAATGAAACAAATTATTGAGAAATAATTATTTAGAGTTCATAAAGTTGAAAAAATGAAAACAAAACATAAATAAAAGAATCTACTCTAAATGGGTTATATGGGTTTAAATGGGTACATATAAATTTTATGGGTTCTAAATGGGTAGCCCTAATAGACCTCTTTTTAAATGGGTCTAAATGGATATGGATTCTAAATGGGGTGAGTCTTAAATGGGGTGGGTTTAAATGGGGTGGGTTGTACCATATTAACATCCCTACTCTTAACCAAACATTTCACGTAGTGTTGAATACAGTGACGAGAGCAAAAGGAGTTTTTTGATTGGGATACCAAATTCGGATATTGATTTGAGTTTTTGTTTTTTACTAGTTTCGGTATTTAATTCGGTTTGGTTCGATTCAAAGCATTAAAATCTGAATCTATCCTGGTTTGGAAGTTTCGGTCCAGATATTTGGTCCCGGCCTAATAAAAAGTACGAGGGCCGGTCAAGTGGAATCTTAAAAAAAAAACATTTGAACAGGAAAAGGACACGTGGATTAATTTAACAACATTTTTTCCCATCACTCACTATTGGTGAAGAAGTTGATCGTCTCTGCATCGTTAACTTCGCACAAGTCGTTGCGTTGAGTCAACTCAGATCAGAGATCGAGAGAAGAGGAAGAAGAAGATGGCGGCGACTGTGCATTCTCCGATCGTCACTTACGCATCGATGCTATCGCTACTCGCTTTCTGTCCTCCTTTCGTCATTCTCCTGTAAGCTCTCTTCCTTTCCCCCTACTTGTCAGATCGTCTCGCACAATCTGTGATCTCCTTAGTTCGTTGCTTAGATCTTCAAAAACTTGTTTCATTAACTAATCTTCGATCGAATAAGGGATTCAAATCTGGTGAATATGTGATCTTAGGTTTTTGGAAGCTCTAAGTAAACATAATGATACATTGTATGACTGTGAGTTTCTAGATTAACCAACATGGATAGATTTGTTGGTCCATATTTATTTATATTTGTTTATCAATGATTTGTTGGTCCATACAATTTTTCTTTTTATTTGCTCATAAATTTATGGGACCTGTTGGCCAGTTTTATTTTTATTAGTACTATTTCTGATTTGTAGAGTTGAGTTTGACTTCAGTAGACTCCATGAAACAAACGTAATATTTACATCTTTGTTTTTTTTAATTTCTTGATAATGCAGATGGTATACAATGGTTCATCAGGGTGGTTCTGTTACTCAGACGTGTGGGTTCTTGTGGGAGAATGGAGTTCAAGGACTCATCAACATATGGCCAAGACCCACTGCCATCGCGTGGAAGATAATCTTTTGCTATGGAGCATTTGAGGCTGCTCTTCAGCTGCTTCTTCCTGGTAAAAGAGTTGAAGGACCCATTTCTCCAACCGGGAACCGACCGGTTTACAAGGTATTGCATAAGTTCAGTTAGCCTTATGTGTGCTGGAATTCTGATGAAAACAAACAACTGTGCGGTGCTGTTCTTGCAGGCCAATGGTATGGCTGCCTATTTTGTGACACTAGCCACCTATCTTGCTCTTTGGTGGTAAGCAAAGTTTATTTCTTTTTCAGTGATTTAGTTTTGTTCAAGAGTTGCCCCTATATGAGTTGACTTTTTTTTTTCTTTGATATTCAGGTTTGGGATATTCAATCCTGCAATTGTCTACGATCATTTGGGTGAGATCTTCTCGGCGCTGATATTCGGAAGCCTCGTGTTCTGTGTTTTGTTATACGTAAAGGTAAGTGTCTATGCCATGAATGGTGTGTTCCTTTTCTTTGTGGTGTCTACTAATGTAGACTATGGCTTTCTATGTTTTTAAAACTTGTCTTTTTGTCTTGTACAAGGGTCATGTTGCACCTTCATCAAGTGATTCTGGTTCATGTGGTAACTTGATTATCGACTTCTATTGGGTGAGTTGTTTCTGCTGATGGCAATCTCATTCTTCTGAAATCACTGGTTGGGATTTACTTAGAAGAACTAACGTCTTCTCAGTGTCTTCTTAGTAGCATTTCTTATTTAATTGCTTAAACGCAAACTATTTTGGTTTGAATATGGTCTTAAATGTCAGAAGGTGAAGGAAAAGTATAAAGTATTGAATAGTTATTAATCATAGAAGAGAATTTATCTCTCTCTATGCGTCCAGCTTATCATTAACACAATCCAACTTGCAGCATTCTTATCCTCACTGTATTCTCTGCGTCCTGATTTGCAGGGCATGGAGTTGTACCCTCGAATTGGTAAGAACTTTGACATCAAGGTTTTTACGAATTGCAGATTCGGTATGATGTCTTGGGCTGTACTTGCCGTCACTTACTGCATTAAACAGGTACTTTCTAGATATAATTCCTCACTCTTACGACATAAGCTGGAGGTTTCTTTGAGTCTTTGTTTGATGAGAGAGTCTCTCACCTCTTCCAATTTGTGGTCAATTTTTAACCAGTATGAAATAAATGGGAAAGTATCTGACTCAATGCTGGTCAACACCATACTGATGCTGGTGTATGTCACCAAGTTTTTCTGGTGGGAAGCTGGTTACTGGAACACCATGGACATCGCACATGACCGAGGTATGCTTGTGGTAAATATATCAAAACTACATTAGCAACAAAAGTTGCTTTACTATTTGGCCATTAAAGCTAACTCGTTCCATGCTCTATAAATTTTATTTTCAGCTGGATTCTATATTTGCTGGGGTTGTCTGGTGTGGGTGCCTTCTATTTATACCTCTCCAGGCATGTACCTTGTGAACCACCCCGTCCAACTTGGAACTCAGGTGCAAGAAAAAAACATTTATTATCGAATATAGAGGATGGAATACTTGATAAATACCCTTGTGTGTTAATCAAATGAAGAAAACCTTAAAAATACAACGAGAGAGGTTAAGCTAAATGTGACAGTACCTGAATCGGCTGTCCTAAAGTATCGTTCATTACATTAGGAACAATAGAGTTATAATATAGAACGTTTTAACATATGTTTGAATCGTTACATATTACGGCTCATGATTCTAGTCGTCAGATATCAGTCTATGTACTACAACTCCGTTCATGAGAACATGGGACAGTTATGTCTATTTCTATCTCTTAAACTCTATAATATCCTTCCTTTGTCTGCAGTTGGCAGTATACATTTTGGTTGCGGGATGTCTTTGCATTTACATAAACTATGACTGCGATAGACAAAGGCAAGAGTTCAGGAGGACAAACGGGAAGTGTTCTGTTTGGGGCAAAGCCCCTTCAAAGGTACACTCGGTGAAGTTAGTTTTTTCCTTTTCAAATTCGAAAAGTTCCTATTATGAGTATGAACAGATTTTGATCACATTTTTTGTTGCAGATTGTGGCGACATACACAACAACAGCTGGTGAAACGAAAACAAGTCTTCTCTTAACCTCTGGATGGTTAGTTTATTCTACTATATGATATTACAACAATTAGTTTTACATGTTGCCCATCACAACAACATGTTATTGATGGCGCAGGTGGGGATTGGCTCGTCATTTCCATTATGTTCCTGAGATCTCAAGTGCTTTCTTCTGGACCGTACCGGCTCTCTTTGACAACGTAAATTCTTTCCCCATCTCTTTGGTTTGTTATAAGGTTTTGTTGCAAGAGCTACATTTACGACATAGATAAATATTTGTTTGGACCAGTTCTTGCCATACTTCTACGTCATATTCCTCACCATTCTTCTCTTTGACCGAGCCAAGAGAGACGATGACCGATGCCGATCTAAGTAAGCCACCAAAATTCGAATGAGTGTTGTAATAATAGTATCTGCACATTCTCTTTGTTCTTACTTTAAATTTGTTGCTTCTTGTTGGTAAGGTATGGAAAGTACTGGAAGCTGTACTGCGAGAAAGTGCGATACAGAATCATTCCTGGAATCTACTGATAATAGTTTTGAAGTATGTGTTCTCTACTTTTTTGCGTTATATCGAACGTTGAAAGTATCCTAAGACCCAAAAAGAATTGATGCATTCAGACATTTTTTTCCTGATTTGTAAGCTACACTTGAGTTTCTAGCGATTCGATTTATTTAAAAAACTTAGCTTACGGTTTTTAATTTGACTACTATTTGTATCTTGATTGTATGGGGTTTAATGCATCAAATAATAAATAAATATATATTATTATTTGAGAATTGCTTTTACTTATATTTGACTAAATTAAATAAGGTAATATTATATTTAAAATTATTTTATACAATGTATACTATATATTTTAGTTTGTGTTTTTATTTTCAACACAAATAAAAAATTATTGTAATTAATTAACTTAAATTGATTTTAAATACAATGGTAGAATTTCTAAAATAAAAAGAAATACAAAAAAAATATTTAATTTATTGTAAATGCAGTGTCTAAATGTGCAAATAAAAGAAAATACTTAATATGCTATCCATGTTTCCAAACAATTCTCATTTATTTTACTATTCTTGTTTCCAAACAGTACCAAAAATTACTTCAGTTTTAATAATATAGACTAGATCCTAATCCGCGCAACCGCGCGGGTTTATTTTTAATTTTTAATTTTTAGTTGTATTACATGTTATATTCGATATCTAATCAGTGTTTTGAAATTCGACCGGATCCGAGAATGAACCAAGAAATTAGGTCACCTATATGTAATCCAGTTTGGTTTTAGAAAACATAATTATATAAAAGAACTTATTTTTGAAATTACTAAAAAAACAAAATTAGATTTATAGTAAGAAAGTTGAGAGATAGTAAAAGAAAAAAGGAGAGAAGGTGGAGTTTTAGTTAGTTAATGAAATATATAATTTTTAGGGTCATTTGACTTTGTTTGTCCTTCGATTTTTTATGTCTTTTGATTTTTTGTTTATCGTGAATTTTACGTACAACTTGACTTCTGTAATTTTGATTTGTTAGTTTTAGATTTATTTCATAAATAAAAAAATTCTCTTATATTTTAAATATATAATATATTATTATGTAGTAAAATTAATTTATTTATTAACATATGGCTCATCCGCAATCGATATAAGTGGTAAACAATTTGATTATTCTATATAAGTGGTGAAAAAATTTTGTATAGGCATTTTACATTGTGATTTCTAATATTATAGGTTGATCCGAAAAGCAAGAAACAAAAATTAATTTAGAAGAAAATTAGGTGATTAATAATATTTAATATTATAATTGTTTATGTATTTTAGTTTATCTATTATATTGTTACAGTAAAGATTATTTATTAATTATGTTTTTTTAGCCAAAGATTATTTATTAATTATGTATGTAGGGAATTTTCTGGTTTGAATTTTTAATTTAATTAATTTATTTGTTTAGAAAAGCTAATAAACCACTTCCCCATTTTTAGGTAAATTTAGATTAAGAAAAATGTATTAATAAATAGGAAAATACAACAAAACTAAAATATAGCTAGATTAATTACTTCAGTGGCATATGATTGTAAATACCTTGAAAAATTAAGGGGTAATTTATTTGGGTACTTCTATTTTAATAAAGTAGATGTTTTTATTTACTATTAGGAACTCTTAACCGACCTTATAACTAGTATATAAAGGGAGTCATATGATCATTGTTACACATAATTTGAATAATAAAAGTTATTCAGTTTTTTTTTAGAGCTTCTAAACAAGCACTGCAAAAAGTATTTGCGCCAAGATCTTTGTTTTCCAAGTTATCTTCGACAATAAGCTACTGAGTTCGATATCAAAACCCTTGATCTTTGACTTACATAGCTATCGCTCTCCATCAGTTGGTATCAGAATGTTTTGGGACACAACTTCGTGTTTTCAATGGTAAAGAAAACAAGTGGTGCTAGTGGTGAAAGCCAGGATCAAATCCGGAGGAAACCACAACGGAACTCGCTGGTTCGAGACCTAATTGTTGAGGCGCAGACAACAACACACGCATCCATCCAGCAAACTCAAACCTCCATCCAACAACTTGGCGACATGGTGGGAACCCTAGCAGCCCGTATCGATGCCTTGACAACGGCATTAACGGCTTGCATAAACCCTCCAATCTCGCTCTTCGTCGACGCCCCCATACCACTGGCACACCAACAAAATCCAGCACCACGAAGCCAATTGCCATTACAGCAACATCATTAACAACTTCAACATGGACAACACAATCGTAGAGATGACGAGAGAGCACAACCACCTCATTCAGATGAGAGCTTCATCGTCAAGTCTATTTTCAAGACTTGCAACGTCGTGATAACAATAATAAAAACTGGGAAAAGAGTTTTCGGATTGATATACCCGATATTTCATGTAGGGTTACATGGCGATGATCTCATTGACTAGTTGATTTTGGTAGAAGAGATACTCGAGTTTATACAAGTGCCTCCAGCACGACGTGTCTCGCTTATAGCAATGCGATTCCGTGGTCATGCCGCAACATGGTGGAAGCAGATTAAAACAACATGTTCTCGAACTGGTAAAACACCAATCCAATCATGGGAAAAACTCACGAAACACTTATGTCAAACCTTCCTACCCTACAACTACGAGCGTACCATGTATACTAGGATCCAGAACCTTCGATAAGGAAGTCGTAGTGTTGATGATTATGCAGAGAATTTTCTCTCTTACTTACGCGGAATGAGATCAACGATAGTCAAGTACAACTCGTCTCTCGTTTCATTGGTGGCTTACGGCCACAGCTCCAAACAGCAATGGCGCAATTTGATCCATCCACGATTGGTGAAACACATAGACGCGCAGCCTCTTTCGAGAAACAATCTCGACCCTCTAATTGAATTACTCCGTCCAATCGTGCTCGTAGTCAAGATCAAACAGAGAGAAACGCGCCACCCACTTCAACTAAGGAGACCAGCGAGACATAAAACGCAACAACCAAACCGGCAACACCAAAAGAACAACAGCTACATCGATTAACGCGGCCTAATGCACTTCATTGCTTTGGCTGCGGAGAGCAAGGGCATAGAAAAAACGCTAGTCCCCATACCACACGCCAGGGCTTAGTGATTAATGACTCAATTGACGAGCAAGAAGTCTATGATTCACAAGAGGAAGATGAGAATGCTGACGACATCATGATTCACCACACAACCGGTGGTAGCGAACCAACCTTAATACTCCAAAGATCGTGTCTCACACCTCCTTGAGAAGATCAAAAGTGGCTACGAACAAATATTTTTCGAACCACTTGTACCATAAAAGAGCGTGTCTGCAGTTGTCATTGATTCGGGAAGCAGCCGTAATGTAGTCTCCGAAGAAGCAATAGACAAATTGGGCATTGCACGCGAAAAGCACCCAGATTCATATACGCTTGGATGGGTTAACAACACAGCAAGCATTCGTGTCACTCAGCGCGCCATACTTCATTTTTTGATGGGACCCCATTACCATGATAGAATCTACTGCGACATTGTTCGAATTGATTTTTGTCACCTTCTTCTGGGTCGTCGACGGGAATATGATCGAAAGATTATCCATGATGGTGCCAAAAACACTTACAGTTTTGTTTGGAACAGTCATCAAATCGTTCTTCTCCCATCTCCAGAAACTCAACAAGCTTTTTCTTCACCAGCAACACAACATGCACAAGTTCCACCTACAACAAATTCACAACCTACAACACTATACTGCGTTTATCTCGGAACTTCTTACGGAAGGAGTAGCCCTTGCTCTTGTTCCAGCATCTTCACCGCGTCTTTTGTTCGCGACACCAGCCTAGTCTTTGGATACTGTCTTACATGCATACATAGACGTCTTCCTTCAGGAACTGCCTGAAGGACTTCCATCACTCCGGGATATACAACACTAAATCGACCTTATCCTTGGCGCGACGTTGCCCAATCGTCCACACTCTCGAATGAGCCCTATGAAGCACGAAGAATTGAGACGACATGTTGAAGAGTTACTTCGAAAAGGACACATCAAAGAGAGTTTAAGTCCATGTGTAGTTCCGGCTCTCTTAATTCCAAAAAAGATGGGTCATGGCGAATATGCGTCGACAGTCGAGCTATCAACAAAATCACCATACACTATAGATTTCCTATTCCACGTCTGGATTGACTTACTAGATCAGATTGGCTCAGCAAAAAAAAATTAAGAAAGTTGATCTTAAAAGTGGTTATCACCAGATTTGTATTCGTCCAGGGGACGAATGAAAAACCACTTTCAAGACTAGGAAATGCCTGTTTGAATGACTCGTTATGCCTTTTGGATTGTTTAATGCTCCCAACACATTTATGCAAATTATGAATCAAGCATTAAGACCATTCATCGGACAGTTCGTGGTGGTTTACTTTGATGATATATTAGTGTTTAGCTCGTCCCTTGCTGATCACGAAAGTCATCTCCGCCAAGTACTCTCTGTCATGCGAGCGCAACAATTTTATGGGGCAAAGCAAAAGTGTGAATTTGGAGTGATGAAAGTACTTTTTCTCGGTTACATAGTATCTGATAAATGTCTGGCCGTGGATACTTCTAATGTCTTGGCCGACTCCTAAGATGGTGTCCGACGTCCGCAGCTTCCATGGTCTTGCATCTTTTTACCAAATATTTGTCAACCATCTTGGTACCATCATGTCGCCTATTACAAGTTGTATGCGAGATAGCAAGTTTGAGTGGACACCGGAGGCAGCACACACATTTGAACTTATTAAGGAGAAGCTAACGACAGCTCCGATTCTTGTCCTTCCAGATTTCTCTGTTCCATTCGAGCTCCATTGCGACGCTTCTAAACTGGGAATTGGCGCGGTCCTTAGTCAGTTGGGACGTCCGGTCGCATACTTTAGTGAAGAATTGGCAGGCGCAAGAGGTCGTTATAGCACCTATGATGTCGAGTTTTACGTCATCGTACAAGCCATCAAACATTGGCGTCATTATTTGGTCCATCGCGAGTTCGTGTTGTTCACTAATCATGATGCTTT